TGTTTTAACCTATTTTTCTGGAATTTGACTTTCAGCATAAACCTGCTCTCCGCCACTAGTACAACGAGATGATCGAGAGCGAACAAGCAATACTTCAGGTATTTTGTCTTTGTACTTTGAGCTTATTGCTTGTACTTGGGGGTCAAATAATATTATTGCTGGTATGCAGAGTTTTAATGTCTTGTCTATTTTTGTCTGCATTCCTCCTTTACAGCTTTAATTGTCTGGAGCCTGGTGTTGTTGTGGCTAAGGAGCTTTCACTCAGATGGAACCAGGTTTCAGCTTCTGTGCAATGTTGACGTCCTTCCTCCCAGAGAGGTGAAAGCATCCCCCGGACTGGACACAAACCGGCAACCATATATTTTCTTAGAAGATCAGGACTTTTGCAATGAAAAGGCCATGGACATTATATGACCTGCTCCAAAGAGCAGGACAGAAAAATGCTCTCTGGCTAGATTCCTTTGTTCATATCATAACATGACCTGAACCAAAGTTACTAAAAGGATGTTATTATATAAGTCTAGATATTGTTTTTACCTTTATGTGTTTTAAGTGTTTCCTAATTGTAGGCTACTACTTTTAGCACTTGAAATTAAAAAAGTATTTTATTGTTGAAATATTTTCTTTGTTTTTTTAAGCACTATCTCACTGCTTTAGCACATGGCCTTATTCTCATGTGTTCCAATGTGAATTCTTCAAGAAATGGGTGCATCTAAGGCTTTAGAGGGTGTAATGGGCTTAAACAAAGAACAGCACTGTAGCTGTTCAATGTGAAAGGTTATCTTTATTATACAACAATAGGCAATTTAATACTGTAAATGGTTTGCCTAATGGGGTAACTTGGTGAGACAATGTTCAGAGAACACATTTGGGCAATTTGGTGAAAGTATTCCTTTTCTAAGTATATGTTTACCAAAGATGAATGTAGAGCAAGTGTGAAAATCACAGCAAAATGTTTGAATGCACTTTTGCCCTAAATAGAATTATACATTTATCAACTTTTAAAGCAGCATTACTTCCCCATGTTTCCTCCAACTGCTGTGTATGATATGCCATTTTGAAGCTCTGGGTCTGTACTTTTATCCAATGTAAAAAATAAAATAAAAACATACGACTGAAAAGATACGTTGGGTCACATATTGTGCTCCCTACAGGTTATAGAAAAGAGCAGAAGTGTGGGCCTCCCGAGTGGCGCAGTGGTCTAAGGCAGTGGTTCCCAACCTTTTTTGTATCCGTTCCTTTGATAAGTATTCTGGTCTCCCGAGTGATGCAGTGGTCTAAGGCACTGCATCGCAGTGCTAGCTGTGCCACTAGAGATCCTGGTTTGAATCCAGGCTCTGTCGTAGCCGGCCGCAACTGGGAAACCCATGGGGCGGCGCGCAATTGGTCCAGGGTAGGGGAGGGAATGGCCGGCAGGGATGTTGGTAGAGCATGGCGTTTGCAACGGCAGGGTTGTGGGTTCGATTCCCACGGGGGGCCAGTATGCACTCACTAACTGTAAGTTGCTCTGGATAAGAGTGTCTGCTAAATGACGTAAATATTCGTCAACATCGGCAAAACTGGATTTAATTTCCTCCCGAAGCATGTTCATGTGCCTGGTAAACTCAGTGCGTAAAGACGCAGGCACAGTGCCACCAGACTGTTTCATCAGCAGTGGAGATTGTTGTAGCTCCCCTTTTGACATTTTCCAACTCTGTACTCCAGTTTCCGCACAAAAGCGTTGAGAGAGTCTTTGCACTGCGTGACGTTTGATTCAGGACCCTGCATCCGCTTGTTTGTCTCATTGTAGAGAGTGAATGTATCCGCTAGGTATGCCGTTTTGATCCAAAACGCATCAGTCAGCTGTTCGCACAGTGGTCGATTGTGATTTTGCAAGAATTCCTTTATTTTTTCCTGCAGTTCCATAAAACGCACAAGCACTTGTCCACGTGACAACCAGCGCACCTCTGTGTGTAACAGCAGTGTTTGATGCGCTTCATCCTCACACAGCTGGTTAAACAGTCTCTTGTTAGTAGGGCGAGCCTTAATAAAGTTTACAACTTTAACAACAGTTGCCAGGGTGTTACTAAGGTCTTCCGAAAGTTTTTTACTGGCCAATGCTTGGCAATGTAGCATGCAGTGGAAAATTGCGCACCCCAGGGCTTTTTCCTTCAATCGGCTGTTAAATCCCTTGTTTTTGCCCATCAATGGTGTAGCCCCATCAGTGCAGCATGCAACAATATTCTCGTAGGGCAGATTGTTGGATGAGAGATATGAGTCCATAGCTATAAAAATATCTTGGCCTGTTGTTGTTGTGGCTAGTTTGGTAGACATAAGAATGTCTTGTTTCAAGTCATCACCGTCAATATTTTGCACATAAACGATGAGCACGGATTCGTCTGACACTGTTGTTGTTTCATCCAACTGAATGGCAAAGGGAACATTCCTAAGCTTCTCGTGCAGCTGGTTTTGACAATCTCCAGCCATTTGATTAATTCTGTCTTTGACAGTGTTGTCAGAGAGTGGGACGGTTCTCACTTTATCCACCACCTGTGGGCCACACAGCCTCTCTACAATTTTCAGGCAGGCAGGTTTGATTAGCTGCTCTCCAATATTGTGCAACTTTTTAGCCTTGGCAGTTAATAGCGAACACTCAAATGACGCCTCCGTGGCTCTGTGTAAATCACTGCCTGCTCTTTCAAATGCTTTTCTGATGTCTGTAGATCTTTTTGATAGTGCCAACTGCTTCTTCCTCTCAAAAAAATCCTGACCTTCACCAATAGTCTCCTGGTGTTTTGTTTCCTGATGTCGTTGTATTTTGCTTGGCTTCATGCTGTCATTAGCTAGCTTCTCGCCACAAATGACACATTCTGGCCGAGTCCTGTCCTGTCCTTCAATAAAACCGAAGTTAAGATAACTCTCGAGATATAGCCTTCCTTTCTTTTTTGATGATGAGTCATCAGCACTTTTACATTTCTTAGACATGTTGTTTTATTCATAAAATAGTGATGCTCTGACTGCAGGAAAAACGAGCTGCTAGCTGAAACTGATTGAACGCTGGTCATTGACGTGCACACACGTCAATTACGGGGAATTACCGCTTTTACATTTCTCTGCCATTATTATTATTTTTTAGATTGGCCTTGGCATTGCAAACATATGATTTTTAATATCATTTTTAAATGTATTAATTTTACAATTAAATTATAGTGCAACATTTTAGGCATGTTTGACCTCAAAGCAAATGAGATCACGCGCCCCCCCTGTAAACTCTGGCGCCCCCCTAAGGGGGGAACCACTGGTCTAAGGCACTGTATCGCAGTGCTAGCTGTGCCACTAGAGATCCTGGTTCGAGTCCAGGCTCTGTTGCACCCGGCCGCGACTGAGAGACCCATGGGGCGGCGCACAATTGGCCCAGTTTCGTCCAGGTTAGGGGAGGGTTTGGCCGGCAGGGATGTTCTTGTCCCATCGCGCACTAGCATCTCCTGTGGCGGGCCGGGCACAGTGCACGCTGACACAGTCGCCAGGGTACAGTGTTTCCTCTGACACATTGGTGAGGCTGGCTTCCAGGTTAAGCGGGCATTGTGTCAAGAAGCAGCTCGGTTGGGTTTCGGAGGACGCACGGCTCTCGACCTTCGCCTCTCACGAGTCCGTACGGGAGTTGCAGCGATGGAACAAGACTGTAAATCCTTTTTTAAATTAAAACTAAAAATTACAACATATACAAAATATTAATACAAAAAACTAAGCAGAAGAACTCTCCATTCATAACTCAGTCCTACCTACCTACAGGTTGTGGAAAATGTGCTCTTTAAATATTTCTCCAGTAGGTTTCCTCAAGGAGAAAGCCCCCCACTTCTATGTCAAAGATAATAAAACAAAAACTCTTTAGTAAATACCACAGTAATGTCCCCAAAAACACTACAGTAAATACTATAATCCGCAAAAACACTACAGTAAATGCTACAGTATACTACAGTCCGCAAAAACACTACAGTAATTACTATAATATACAGCGCATTTGGAAAGTATTCAAACCCCTTCACTTTTTCCACATTTTGTTTAAGTTACAGCCTTATTCTAAAATTGATTTAATCTTTTTTTTCTCCTCATCAATCTGCACACAAAACCCCATAATGACAAAGAAAACAGGTTTTTTGAAGGATCGAGGGAAAGATGAACGGAGCAAAGTACAGAGAGATCCTTGATGAAAACCTGCTCCAAAGGGCTCAGGACCTCAGACTGGGGCGAAGGTTCACCTTCCAACAGGACAACGACCCTAAGCACACAGCCAAACAATGCAGGAGTGGCTTCGGAACAAGTCTGAATATCCTTGAGTGGCCCAGCCAGAGCCCGGACTTGAACCCGATCAAACATCTCTGGAGAGACCTGAAAATAGCTGTGCAGAGACGCTCCCCATACAACTTCACAGAGCTTGAGAGGATCTGCAGAGAAGAATGGGAGAAACTGGCCAAATACAGGTGTGCCAAGCTTGTAGCGTCATACCCAAGAAGACTTGAGGCTGTAATCGCTGCCAAAGGTGTTTCAACAAAGTACTGAGTAAAGGGTCTGCATAGTTATGTAAATGAGATATTTCCGATTTTTATTTGTTATAAATTAGCAAAAAAATCGAAAAACCTGTTTTTGCTTTGTCATTATGGGGTATTATGTGTAGATTGATGAGGGGGAAAAAACGATTTAATCCATTTTAGAATAAGGCTGTAACTTAACAAAATGTGGAAAAGGTGAAGGGGTCTGAATACTTTCCAAATGCACTATATATTATTCTTTTTTAAATACTACGGTATACTACATTATACTACAGTGAATACTACAGTAACGTCCGCAAAACCACTACAGTGAATACTATAGTATTCCTACCATAGTATACACCATAGTATTTTTCCATGTGGGATGGGACTAATGGGGAAAGTGAACAAACAAAATCTGCTGACTGTATATGTTTTTAATTTGAATGTATATTGTATGTTTGTATTGTCATAATTGATGATTATGCTTGTTTATGATGATGTCATCATATTGGGCTCTGCAGCTTTGCAGGGAACCAATAAAGGAGGGTCTTTGTGGTTAGGGGGAAGCTCTGCCAGGCTAAGTCCTGCAAACAACACTACAGTAGGGGCCGTAACACCACACGGCGTGAGCAGGAAACCACCGCGCTCAATAGAGATGCTGCCTCGCAGACATTCATAACTAAAGGAGCTTTTGTCCATCATTTCTGGGAAAACTTGCCAGGTTCACATTGAGGGATTTCCAGACACGCCATTCAGGGGGCCAAGTCCCTCTGAGGAGCCAACGGGCCCCAGCAGAAGGGTTTCACCCAGCTGTCAGCTGCAGAATGCCATCATATCACCACTTTATTACAAATGACAGGCTCGCCGCTGGAAACGCCCCCCATTGATTAGAGTCTGGATAATTGGATTGTGGCGATCCAAGCTGAATGCTGGCATTTAGAAGGAGTCCTTTTAGGAGATCGGGCTGACCGAGCCACAGCCAAGGACAGGGGGAGGATGGGGGGATGGGAGAAAGATAAGTCACATGAAATGGTCTTCTGCATTACATTGCCTAGTAAGCTGTGACTGTACTGTAGATTCCTTTGAGGGGGGTCACATAACATAATTACTAAATAAAAAGGGTACAATTTCACTGACAATCTGGTACATCATTTGTATTTTAATGATCTGAACTGTGTGTGTGTGTGTGTGTGTGTGTGTGTGTGTGTGTGTGTGTGTGTGTGTGTGTGTGTGTGTGTGTGTGTGTGTGTGTGTGTGTGTGTGTGTGTGTGTGTGTGTGTGTGCGTGTGCGTGTGCTTGCATGCATGCGTGAAACAGGTGAGAAGTCCTCAGATAGCTAAGCCTGTTGGGTATAGCCCAGGTCCCTAATCAATTATATAAATGGGCTGTATAGAGCAAACATCTGTTGTCTTAACCTGGGAATGAATCACTGACATGTTCCCTTCCTGTGATTTTTGCCCAACCCATGAAAACAAACAAAAACACAATCATTACTGTGAACTCTGTATCTTTCATAACTCAGAGTGGCTTCATCTAGCACTAAAATATTAATGTCATTAAATATGCCTGCTCTGGTCAAAAACTCAGCTTGTTTTCTGAAAATCCGGTGAGGAACCCCGCAGAGAGGCTGGAGAATGAGACATGCGGATATCTGCTGAGGAGGCTTTTTATTGTATAACCAAATATGAGAACACACAGACTCATTGATTGCAGTTTCTACTGCTGCTTCCTGTCCCATTGTATTCCAATCAGAATCACAATCCTCTCCATCCTGGCTGTTCAATACTAAAAAAGCTCAAACCTGAAGATATTAATCTCACTCCATTTATTTCATTTCTATGATGTCTGTCTCGCCTAGACTTGCAAAGCGAGTGTATATTACTAGACACTTTTGAAGTTTACCAGTAAATTACCATACATTTTAGTAACTTTCAAGGATTTTATGCAATTTATCACAAGGCATCTAGTAGCCCTTTTGGGTACTTCAGATTATCAAAGGTGTCTGTAATTATCTCTGGCCCTCCGTGTGGCCTTATCACATGTAAAATATCCCAAAAAATAAAAAGAAGATGATTTTAAAAGAAAAAATAGAATGACAAAGTGTAAAACATGATCATAAATATAGACCATCAACTTAGTGAGTACCATTAGTGTTTAGCATTTTACACGCGTACCCGTATAGGGGTTCAAAATAGCAGATTTGGACACTGATAAGCGCCGAAATTGTAACGCAGTGGCCGTACAGTAACATGCTACACATGATGTCAGAGTTCAAGGTCTCTGCTTCACAGCGCAGTATTGTCTTTGACTGACAGCGGTTCTGAACTTGAACACTGCGCGCGACAAAAAGTTGCCTCCCGCTAATTGGGCAACTTTAGCATTTTTCTTTTGTCGTTTGAGTGAGGGAAATGCTGTAAATAAAGAGGACTCTGTGTATTTCGAAAGGTGGGACGTTGAGGATTATAATAACTATGGCTTTGATGTTATACAAGCAAGACAAACACACCTGTTACTTCACATTTCCATATCATAAAACCCCTGTAATATACAGTGTTGACGTTTATGATCATTATGTTTGATGTACAGGATGACATGGTGTCATACCCTGGGTTGTTCTGAACAGAATTAACCTTTGTTTGTCCTATTGTGAAGAACTCTGGCGGGGAAAATGTACCAGAATGCACTCATGACTCTATTCTATGCACACCAAAATTACGATCTGCTTCTCTGAATTGACTTGTGAAAGCCAAACACTGTAAGATCATATTTTGTAACTTAGCCAGCCATGTTGGCAATAAAACAAGCTTTCAAATGATGCCCACCTGACCAGATTAAGTTATTGGACCGTTTTTGGAATGCGTAAACAACAGTAATTATGTGATGGCGGGATGCGGGACTGTGTTCCAAAAACAACTACAAGTCTGCTTGCTCTAGTTCCTCAACAGCACATCTAGGAGAGCTAAAAAAAAACACCTTATAGTTGAAGACTCTTCTTTGAGTTATAAACGTGCATTGGAATTGCGTAGGAATTGTGCACACTTTGGAGAATTATGTGGCCACTTGGAGACGTTAGACCTCTCACTCAAACCCTTGTCATTTTTTTGTCTTATGTTGCACATACCCCAAATTTTATTTTAATATTCTTATCATGTTACTGAGTATTGTCAGATTTCGTTATCAACAAATATAGAGAAAAGTACAGTAAATGTCAAATGCACATAAAATCAACAGTGTAATGTTTGGATTCAGTCTAATACATTTCCCACAATCTCCAAACTGTTCCCTTTTGATTGCTACCATGGTTATGCATATGCTTTCCACATTTCTTCTGCAAGAAACATTTCAATTTAGCCCTATCCATATAGGCCAATTCCCACGAGTAAGGGGTAATATGAGGGTTTCAGCATGAAATATCCTATATATTATTTTACACAATTATTTATTTTACTATGTCAATATGTCTTTGTTGTAAATGTTTTGGCGCCAAACTGGTGGCAGTCGTGTAAAAAGTCAATAGTTGGAGGTGTTGCAGAGTTAATTGAAAACAATGCCATTGTTGATTAGATGCTTTTTTCATTAATTAGGCTATTTTCTATTGAACCATATGGTCTATCCAATAGAAACTCTTGGACAATATATGGACACAGATATAAAACAAATTATACTATATATGAATACAGATTTTTGTTTTGTTATTCAAGCATAAATTACCAAAATTACCATAGATTGCCATACATTATCTGTTACCAAAATTACAGAAGATTCCGGTAATTTTGGTAAATTACCAGTAGAATTGCAACCCTAGTCTCACCTCATTATTACCTTTGCATCACAGTCTTTCGATATTCTTGACACTTTCAACAAAAAGGTGGATATGGCATAACTATGGTACAGAGCAGCATGTCATTAAACTAGATTATTTTACCTGTCTGTCAGTCATACAGCATTTCACCCTTATTTTCCTCAAAAGTCACTCTCCCTCCCAAGAAGACCTTGTAGACTTGCCTTGCTAAACCCTATCCACCTCAGTCTCAGCCACAGCTCCGTGTGCTGTCAGCTTGGTGTGTTACTGTGGAGACACGGAGTGGGAATCGTAATTTATCGCTACATCTGAGAGCAGAAGACAAGAACTCACAAGCAGCCGCCATGAGTGTAAAGCTCCCCTTCCACACACCCCTCGTGCTGTTATCCAATTACAGTCCCCCTTACTGCTTTAATCAATATGAGCCATGAACGCACGCACATCTACCTGTTCACTAATTAATATGGTTATGGCGGGAGATGATGAGATAGAGCGCAGTGTGTAAACATAAGTGGCAGCAGCATAGCTTTCGCAATTAACCGTATTTCACCTGCAAAGCAATGAGAACAGGCTGCGCCTGGTTACTTTAACACACACCCGCTCTCCATAGAATTTGAGAACCAGATGCAAAATGCTCCAAAGACCCCCTCCAAAACTGAAGCGGTACTACACAGAGATGGGTGAGGAGCAATCCATCTCTACAAGGTCCCGGGCGGATCGGGCTCCAGCAGCAAGGATGGTTTAAAGAGGACTGATGTTGATGTTGAGAACAACGCCTTGATCACCCCTCACCTTCAAATCCCTGTGAACGATTCTGGCAAATCATCCCTGCAATCTAGATAATAATAAATATCTGTCCTAAAGAAGTCCCATTCATCACTCCTCTCTTTGTGTTTGTCCTTAATGTGGACAGTAATGGGTGGTGCCTGCGAGAATCCCCTTGTAGAGGACAAAACAAAGTTAAAGATTCCTTGTTAATGGTGGGATTGGAGTTCAGGGGCCTTTTGTTGTCAGGCTAACTTTTTTTGAACTCGGCTCCGTCATTCATTGAATCAGATGGCTCTTCAACACAAAACCCACTGATATTGCCAACTACTTTAATGATTTTTTCATTGGCAAGATTAGAAAACTTAGGCATGACATGCCAACAACAAATTCTGAACCTACACATCCATGCATAACTGACCAAATTATGAAAGACAAGCATTGTCATTTTGAATTTCATAAGGTGAGTGTGGAAGAGGTGAAAGAACGATTGTTGTCTATCAACAATGACAATCCACCTGGGTCTGACAACTTGGATGGAAAATTACTGAGGATGATAGTGGACAATATTGCCACTCCTATTTGCCATCTTTTCAATGTAAACCTACAGGAAAGTGTGTGCCCTCAGGCCTGGAGGGAAGCAAAAGTCATTCTGCTACCCAAGAATAGCAAAGCACCCTTTACTGGCTCGAACAGCCGACCAATCAGCCTGTTACCAACCCTTAGTAAACCTTTGGAAAAAATGGTGTTTGACAAGATACAATGCTTTTTTAAAGTAAACAAATGAACAACAGATTTTCAGCACACTTATAAGGAAGGCCAATCAACATGTACAGCGCTTCCACAAATTACTGATGATTGGCTGAGAGAAATTGATAATAAAAAGATTGTGGGAGATGTTTTGTTAGACTTTAGTGCAGCTTTTGACATTATCGATCATAATTTGCTGCTGGAAAAACATATATGTTATGGCTTTACATTCCCTGCTATATTGTGGATCGAGAGTTACCTGTCTAACAGAACACAGAGGTTGTTCTTTAATGGAAGCCTCTCCAACATAATCGAGGTATAGTCAGGCATTCTTCACAGTCCCCAAATCACATGGATTTTGTGTTGTCGTGGTATTGGAGTAGTGGTCTGAGGGCACATAATTAATGTGTTGTGAAATCTGTTGTGAAATGTAATGTAATGTTTTTAATTGTATATAACTGCGTATATAACTGCCTTAATGTTGCTGGAGCCCAGGAAGATTAGCTGCTGCCTTGGCAGCAGGTAATGGGCATCCATAAGAAATACAAATACAAATACAAACAGGCCTGTTGAGTTTGCAGACACCCAGCTGCTTTCACTATACACACACACACACACATGCATGTAAAAACAGACGCACACAAACACACAAACGGTGAAAAAGCCCACCATATGTGTATGTGTGTGTTTGTGTGTGTGTGTGTGTCCACATGTGTGCTTATTCATGTGTGTGACGACACAACACCTCCCAAATGGAGAAAACTTGGACAGGCTTCTTGGCGCCTCTCGTTGCCTTTGTTACGTCTTTGCGGTTTGAGATGACAACCAGGCGACAGGACTCCCTTTCTTCCATCCCATTTAGCTCCAGCGCCAAGCCTATTACAGTACCTGTTAGACTCACGGGGAGCATTGTAGTGGAGACACTCGGTAAACCAAGGCAGATGGGAGAGGCTAAGTCCCAGGTTTGGAATAAACACTCCTTCGTAATGTTATGCAATGGCTTAGTAACAAGTTCTGTCGGTGTGAAAAAGGCAAGTGCTGAGCTTAGCGGTAAGTCACTGCTAAGAGCCGTGCTAAGACCTACAGTTGAAGTCGGTTTACATACACTTAGGTTGGAGTCATTAAAACTTGTTTTTCAATCACTCCACAAATTTCTTGTTAACAAACTATAGTTTTGGCAAGTCGGTTAGGACATCTACTTTGTGCATGACACAAGTCATTTTTCCAACAATTATTTACAGACAGATTATTTCACTTATAATTCACTGTATCACAATTCCAGTGGGTCAGAAGTTTACACACGAAGTTGACTGTGCCTTTAAACAGCTTGGAAAATTCCAGGAAATTATGTCATGGCTTTAGAAGCTTCTGATAGGCTAATTGACATGATTTCAGTCAATTGGAGGTGTACCTGTGGATGTATTTCAAGGCCTACTTTCAAACTCAGTGCCTCTTTGCTTGACATCATGGGAAAATCAAAAGAATTCAGCCAAGACCTCAGAAAAAAATGTGTAGACCTCCACAAGTCTGGTTCATCCTTGGGAGCAATTTCCAAATGCATGAAGGTACCACGTTCATCTGTACAAACAATAGTACGCAAGTATAAACACCATGGGACCACGCAGCCTTCATACCGCTCAGGAAGGAGACGTGTTCTGTCTCCTAGAGATGAACGTACTTTGGTGCGAAAAGTGCAAATCAGTCCCAGAACTACAGCAAAGGACCTTGTGAAGATGCTGGAGGAAACATGTACAAACGTATGTATCTCCACAGTAAAACAAGTCCTATATCGACATAACCTGAAAGGCCACTCAGCAAGGAAGAAGCCACTGCTTCAAAACCGCCACAAAAAAGCCAGACTACGGTTTGCAACTGCACATGGGGACAAAGATCGTACTTTTTTGAGAAATGTCCTCTGGTCTGATGAAATACACACCTCTGTAGCTCAGCTGGTAGAGCACGGCGCTTGTAACGCCAAGGTAGTGGGTTCGATCCCAGGACCACCCATACACAAAAAAAAAAATTTATGCACGCATGACTGTAAGTCGCTTTGAATAAAAGCGTCTGCTAAATGGCAAATTATATTATTATTATATTATTATAAATAAAAATAGAACTGTTTGGCCATAATGACCATTGTTATGTTTGGAGGAAAAAGGGGGGGCTTGCAAGCCGAAGAACACTATCCCAACCGTGAAGCACGGGGGTGGCAGCATCATGTTGTGGGGGTGCTTGCTGCAGGAGGGACTGGTGCAGTTCACAAATGGCATCACGAGGAAGGAAAATTATGTGGATATATTGAAGCAACATCTCAAGATATCAGTCAGGAAGTTAAAGCTTGGTCGCAAATGGTCTTCCAAATGGACAATGACCCCAAGCATCCTTCCAAAGTTGTGGCAAAATGGCTTAAGGACAATAAAGTCAAGGTATTGGAGTGGCCATCACAAAGCCCTGACCTCAATCCTATAGAAAATTTGTGGGCAGAACTGAAAAAGTGTGTGCGAGCAAGGAGGCCTACAAACCTGACTTAGTTACAGCAGCTCTGTCAGGAGGAATGGGCCAAAATTCACCCAACTTATTGTGGGAAGCTTGAGGAAGGCTACCCGAAACGTTTCACCCAAGTTAAACAATTTAAAGGCAATGCTACCAAATACTAATGTAAACTTCTGACCCACTGGGAATGTGAAATATAAGCTGAAATAAATAATTCTCTCTACTATTATTCTGACATTTCACATTCTTAAAATCAAGTGGTGATCCTAACTGACGCTAAAACAGGGAATTTTTACTAGGATTAAATGTCAGGAATTGTGAAAAATTGAGTTTAAATGTATTTGGCTAAGGTGTATATAAACTTCCGACTTCAACTGTATGTGTAAATAGTATCAGATTCATCAAAGTAGTGTACGTGCCTATATTTACATGGATGTATGCACATACTGTATGTATTATATACAACCCCAACATGAATCATGCGTTGTTATTTTCTGTGCACAGTTAATTGTTTATAATATGAGCAGAGTCCTGTAATATGTTTTCTTCACATCAATGCATCTGCACGAAAATGTGCATTCTGATAATGTATCACTACATACATCACTATAATAATATATCACTCCGTAGGCCATGATCAGAAATGAATTAAGAACCCTTTTTAATTAATGAAAGCAAATTGGGTTTTATTGTCGTTGTTCGAAGAGCAACAGATAAACAGGTGTTTCGATACAATGGAATACATAGAAGATGCTTCCAGTAGCATATCATAAGGAGCAGACCCACCATCATCATTCAGCCAAAACACATGTAATGTATTCAGTAATAGCACTACTCATGATGAGACTTCAAAGACGAGAGAGCATCTCAGGTACAGATGCTTCAGAGAGGCTTAACAAAAGCACCAGTGGTAATAACTATTAGGTTCTTAGACTGCACTAGACTGTACACCTGCCACCCTCCACAAATAACCAGTGTCTATTAGCTAAGCAGGTTCCAACCACACTTCTCCTTGTGTTCAGACTTCCCAGGCTTCCCAGGCAATATTGTTATAGTAGGGGTTATTTGATGTCAGAAGGAAGCGAAGGGATTTATTTAAAACCCAGGGAAATATGACTCATTTAGTTGAGGTCTGTTCAGTCGAACACAGGTTTTGGGTGTATTTCTTTTTTTTGTTATCAATTATCAGTTAATTAAATCATGGAATCATGCTAGAGGAGTTCGTTTATATTTTGTGCCACACGCCTCTGTATTTATTATCAGATATCTCCTGAGACAAATGCCATCGACATTACAAGCTTAATTAATTGTTAGCAGCGTTTCAGGTAGTGGCAGTATTGAAACATATTTGAGAAGTATTGGAAGAATATCAACCAAAATGGCGAGCCTTTTAATAAAAATGTATAATCTTCCTAATCCTAGAGTGCATAACAACAGTGACAGAGAGTATCACTGGTAAAGTACAGTGGAATCCAATTGACACCCTTTTCAGAATGGTGCAACTAAAAGTACAAGAGATTTCCAATAACCAAACATTTTCTTCATTTTCTGGGAAACACCTAATATAGTGTTATTCAGTTCAGTGTGTCAAGGTTCGGTCTGAAAATGGAGGGACTTATGTGGGTTCCATCTGACATTCTGAAAGGCTGAAGCATATCCACAGAAAAACCATGCAGAGTCGTCGGGGGAAAATAGAGGACACTCCTCTGGCCTCGCTGAGTGCGAGATGTACTGATGGTGGTGGTTGTAGTGACTGCAGGGTGAGGGCGAGAGCAGGGCAAGGCCTTACCTTCCTGGACCGCCTGGAAAGGGTTGTTCCCGTCCACAAACTCCACGGAGATGGTGATCTTCTCCGTCTCCAGGATCTCGTTGTTGAGGTTGAGGTCCGCCACAGCCATGCGGAACACCTCGTCATCCTTCCTGGCAGACTCATCAAAGATGGCCCCTACGGAGAGAGAGAAAGAAGGGAGGGAGAGCAAAGGAGAGAGCGAGAGGGGGGAGAGAGGGAGGAAAGGGGAATGATAAGTGATCTTGTGACTAAGGAAAGTATCATGCAAGCCTCTTGGACCTCATACTGTACGTGTGCCTACAAATCAATAGAGCAACAATCCATTTGCTGGGAAATAAGGAAGGTATCCCACAGTCAATGGGTGTATACAATACAGGAACATTCTCCCTGCATCCTGCAGGAATCCAAATAGAGCCAGTATCTCTTCTTTTGGCCTTGCATTTCCTCTCTGCTTGTTGCCTGCAGCAAATTAGCTAGTAATTGTTTAAAACTGCTCACTGAAGCAATGCTAAATGCATTTTGCTGACCTGCAAATAGTCATCATTTAGAAATAGATGGTGTGTATGATACAGATTGGTGAGTCATACAGTAAACTCACCAATTCTGAGCTAAATTCACATTTTGGGACCAAGTGCAGGTCAGTGTGATTTCTGGTCACACTTTTCACAGACCTTCACAAAAATTACAGCATGGTAACAACCTGAGGATTGCAGTAGCCTATGCTATGAACTCTAAACCACGTCAAGCGACAAAGTCAGTCCTTGTGACCATGTGCACTGGAGAGTGCCCGTCAAGTCAGACATTCCACTCCCATTGCCATCCCCTCATTTAGCAACAAAGAGACTTTGTAAACGTTTCATCATGTTTGTTCATGTTACTGCCGTTTTCAAGCATCCTACTGCTAGGCATGTCCCATCAAACACTAGTTAAGATTGTTTATTTATAATTTTAAGTACATTGGGAGAATCTAAATTGCATACTCCTCGTGTCCTCTCTCCTCTCCTCCTTCTCAAAACCCATTGGAGGAGAAGGTGCCAAACACACTTTGCAAATGTTGCTAATGTTTGTTCATGTTCCCTAGCGTTTTCAAGCGTATTCCTACTGCTAGACATGTCCCACTGCCTGAAATTTCAGCCTGGTTTGGTGGGATGGAGTTTTGCCCTGCCTGGTGACATCACCAGGTGGTAAATTAGTTAATAGACAAATAAGAAAGAGTTCCAACACTCTCTGCCAATAACAGCTAGTTTTCAGTTTTCCCCTCCCTACTCAGACCACTCCCAGACTGTCCTAGCAAAATTCTTGCTTGAGAAATTGCTAAGAATCTATTTCTGTTTCTTTTTAACATTTTTATTTAAACCAAACACAGTAAGGTAGCCTACTTAATTGTTACTCAGAAATGATTTGATATTGAGATAAAAATGGCTGCATTGGACCTTTAACTTTGGTTATTTAGAATTTAAGGTACATTGTATCGCCAGCCTGTAGCCCTACTCACCATCGCAGGTTGTTTGTGGACTAGTTCGGAGAGCGAGCACACCTGTGACATACACATAGTTAACCAACAGGTTCACGCGCACAGTAATCGGAATGTTCCATGTTGGAGGGTGTTTTCCCAATATTTGTTGAGTGTTATGAGATCATGTCCTGGTATGTTGAAATATATTATGTAATGGCCATTGACTTAAATCAGAAATATTGATTATAGTGAGATTTGTTAATTGATTAAATACCTGTTTAGGTGCATTTTGGATTATCCCAGTGTTAGAAGTTGGGCTTTTAACCTGTTCAGGTTGCCCTTTTCCTGAGAGCTTATTAGGCTAGATTGACATGTTGTCCCAGGGCTCTCTAACTCAGCTGTGTGAGGAAATATTGACCCAAAGTTATAGGTGTGACTAGTTTGAAAATGGTAGCTAAAAACCAGTAGCTTCAGTGTATCGGCCATTTAGTTTATGTTTGTTATTTTTGTCAGTCAAATGTTTGTCAATGCTTCATGTAAATTATATTCATGGTTAAAGCTTTACTGACCTTTTCTGAACCTGTAAATAAATACCACCATTTTGCACCTGAAGTCCACCTGACTGCTGATGCTTGGCACCCCTGAAAAGACAGTGAGGTCCACTATCTTACAGACATCAAGCGACAAAGTCTGTCCTGAAAAAGACATCCACCGTATGATTGTTCGGTGTGTTGTCTTGTTTCACTTTCTGATGGAGTCAATTGTTTTAAACGCCATGCAATATGAATGAGAAAAGTCAAACAAAAACACAGGGCAGCATGAATAAATTGTCAAATAAAAGACGCATTCCTTCATCTATTTATAGTTGCATTATTGATGCGACTCAAATGTGGTTCAGAGTGAATCTAAAGAAACATTTCCCACAATGAGGTCTGATTGAAACAGATCAAAGAATAGAATACCTATCCCTTTGAGAGCGTGGGGCATAGGCCTATACCTTACAGGATGCCATTGATCCCTCTGTGATGGGGGTGTTATGTCTGATTGGTTGTACAGTAGTATGGTAAATCTACTATTAAATATCAGCGTTTACAGGGATGAAGTCAAATGTGAGCCGGTGGTCTGTTGTGAAATCGGCTGGTAAAGACAATGCTTTCAAAGCCCGGCAGAACTCTGTCAGACAAGACAAATCTCCCTCCCAACCAGCAGCAACGTACTCACTTTGTCTCCAATCCTCCGCAAAAACATCATTCCAGTTCTTTTATCTGGGCCCCGGAATTGAGTTGCCATAGAAACAAAACTCAAGGTGGAGGCTTCAAAACGCACTTTAAAGCTGCATATCTCACCCGTGGCGGTGTGAAATGGTATAGAGGGGGACGATATTTTCCCTCAATGTCCCCTCTAAAGTGGCCGCCTCGCTCTCTGTTTTGTTCCCTTAACTGAAACCATCAGATATTCAAATGGAACAATCATTAAAACATCTTAATGGAAATAAATTACTGGTGGGGATTGATTTTAAGGCCTTTCCACCTGTGATTAGTTTTCATTTCGGTGAGTGATTCATGATCCGTTGATGATGATTACGTACATCGAGCCTTTTGCATCCTACCCGTAGAAACATGAATTAGGAATGAGCTCATCCATACATTCATAAAATATGATTAATCAAAATAGTATGAATAATAAACGGACAGTCTCCAAACATACAAATGTGCTTTTGAAGGTCGGCGTCGGAATCCACTGAATGAAATAATAAATAGTAATTACTTGTTTACTTTCTACTGACCTTCAATCACAACTCAAATCAATAAACTTGTTAAATGATGATATTTGCTATCTCTTTCTTCATTTGTCTCCTAATGTACCCCAGCTGGGCAATAATGAGTGATTCTACATCTGATCTCAGACCTGTGACCAGATACGTTTTGCATAACAAGGGATTTATCAAGGGATGGTAGACCATACTAGACTGTGCACACTGGCACCTGCCAGCAGCTGCAAACTCATACATAGCACATAGCAAAAGAGAGCAGAAGGCCAAGGCCCCACTGTGCACATCATGGCCATTGTCACATTGATTAATGTCTCCAAGCTCTCTCTAGGGGAGAAAAAGTGAAGATTATTATTTTTCCTTCAATCCACTTCACACAGGAAGCTCAAAAAAAAAAAGATATATGTTTTTTATGTGCACGCACGCGTGTGTGTGTGTGTGCGTGTGTGTGGATGCAGGCCTGGGTGACTGCACTGGTATGATGTGGATGGCAGCACTGCATGCTGATTTACAAGCAGCCTTCCTCCTGTTCTAAACTCTTCTCCAGCATGGCTCCTCCAGCTCTTGGACAATTGGATTGTGAAGAAAGGCAAACGTCACAACATATATCAGAGGAGACGATAAAGGCATTGCATCTAGCTTTACACCGACGCACCAAGGGCAACAGGGCTCAAATGCACAATATGTAATCATTGCTATTTCCACAACAGCTATTTGGAGGCAGAATACATTAAAGGCGAGAAATGATTTGGGAAATGCTATTGATTCCTGAGTGCTTCAAACATCTAATATTCCTGTTGTTGTTTACTATGGTTTACTGATGAATATCCAGTTTGTCAGTTAGTCCAATAACGTCTCCAGGAGGAGGTTCCTGCTGGCTTCCCTTCATGAAACATCACTTATCGTTTGGCCTTTATTCTGTTGAATGAAAAGTACACATTGTTAAATACACACTGAGAGAATCAACATGAGTTCCCTTTTAACTACAGCAAATCACCCAACAGAACAGAGGCTCTTTTCCAATTTCCAGCACTATTATTTCACAACGTCAATAGAGCTCGCATAATTAGCCTGTGTATTTACGCTAAATAATTTAGCATTAATGAGCAATTGTCTGGAAGGGAATGACTTCACTTGCAATAAGAAGTGAGGGAGTGTGAAGGAAGCTAGTTCCCTCCTGACAGGGTTAGACTTGGAAACAGACTTGTCAGCCAGTTAGAAGATGACTATTAGGGCAGCTGTGCAGTTGGATAGGAAAATCCACGTCTCTCAGGCTGTCCAAGTAGAGACAGGATTCAGAAGGTTATTTATGTGGTGGCAGAGAAGATGGAGAGTTATTAGCTCTAATTGCACATCATTCCTGTATAGGCTATACCTTTATACTGTATCACTCTCTCTCTTTCTCCCGAGTGGCGCAGTGGTCTAAGGCACTGCATCGCAGTGCTAGCTGTGCCACTAGAGATCCTGGTTCGAGTCCAGGCTCTGTCGCAGCCGGCCGCGACCGGGAGACCCATGGGCGGTGCACAATTGGTCCAGCGTCGTCCAAGGTAGGGGAGGGTTTGGCTGGCAGGGATGTGGGTTTGTTTCCCACGGGGGGCCAGTATAAAAAAAATAAAATATAAAAAACATGTATGCACTGACTAACTGTAAGTCGCTCTGGATAAGAGCGTCTGCTAAATGTGTAAAATGTAAATGTAAATATCTGAAACCAACTTGCAATACCCCACTAAGATACAGAAGAATACCACTCCCTACACTGGTCTCCACAGCCTAGTATGGGCCGATTGTGACGGAGCAGCCCCATGGCAGTTCTGGCTATGATGATGATAATGGAGGAGCCTTTCCGCATTGATGATAATGACAATGACAACAATGACAGTGACAGAGGGGAGGGAACCGAGGGGTGGCGCCCACCTTGACAGCAATCGAAAGCTCATGACTAAACAGGAGAGCATATATCCAACTTGTTGGTGATGTATGGTCCTGTGTTATGATGAAAGCAAGATGGAGACGGCGCGGGATGACGATGATGAATCAGTTTGCTCTTGCCGGGGAGAGTGGGTGGAGGGGTGGTGTATAGGGGAGGCCTGTGAGTGCAAATGTGTGAGGGCGGTCAGATTTACGGCCCATGCCTTGTCTGGGAGAAGGACGTGGCAGCTGACACCTGGGAGACAAGGGCGATTAATTGGCTTCCGGGAGGCCCAGGGGAGAGCAGTAATCGTCTGATAGAACGTGATATAAAACGGCAACACGCCGCCATGTTTATCACGCCGCATGGCAGCCGCGGCCACGCACAGTCACCCATTAATAACTCCACATCTCATTGGTCGGCACCAGCCAACTCTCATCATCACTGCTCCGCCGCATACAAACACAGAGCCCTCTTTAATTGATATCTCTGATGAGACTGGCTAGGTGTCCTCCCCTGCACCAGGCAGGCAGAGGCACAGAGCTTGACACAGAGCTCCACTATGTGTGACTGTGCTAGCAGGAATATAATGGTGTGTGGGCAGTGTTGAGTGAGTTCACAGCAGCCACTGTCAGTAGGGAACTGTGTTCCTGAAATAGACTAAGGAGAAGGCAAGCCAATTCTCATACAGCAGGAAGGAGGGGAGGACTAAGTGTACGTGTGTATCAGCAATCTGCATCTGCGAAATCTATTGCCACCTTTGTGCAAAACTTCAATGATCCCCGAGGACATGGTTTGTACTATGAAATCCACATGTGCCATGTTCCCTTCTCCTGCTGGCTGAACACACACTTTCATTATTATCATGGAAATAAATGTCTTCATCATTAACGCAGCGGCGAAGCTGCCAGCCAGCTCCCTGGCATTGCTGAGCCAATCTAAAGCCTATCCATGGCTGTTCCTCACCTTCCCCGGCTGTGGGGACACCTTCTCCCTGACATTTAATAGAAGTGGACTTAAATGGGGCTGTTGGATGCCTCAGACGGATGGGGCCTGGGAGGGTGAGTTTCCAATTCCCATTCCCCTTTTTTATTTAACCTTTATTTAACCGGGGAAACCCATTGAGACCAGGGTCTCATTTTCAAGGTGATCTGGGAACAATAGATCAACATAATCAGTCTCAAAACAACACTATCAATTTACAATTTCACATTTCAACAAATGAGAAAATGTCACATCGATCAAAGCATCAATCAAGACACAGATGCTTGGGGTGTTGCTGGATTTCTACCTCCTGGGTGGATACAGGCGTCATGTGGAGTGTACCCCTTGCCACACACACACGGACGTGGACACGCACACACATATACGCACACCTCTTTCATGCCATTTCAGATGGTGTTGGGGTGTTTGGTGGACATTAAAATCTGCCTAAAACAGCACAGTAGTCTCAAAGGTATTAGGTAAAGGCTAGAGAATATTCCAGACAGGAAAATAATATCTCCAAATAATTCCATTGCAATGACCTCAAATCAATAGGCCTACCAGAATGCATCTGTCTCATGGATTTTCTCTATCTCTCTCTATCTTCCATCGCATAGTTTGCCGTATCTGCTCGACAGAACACCCCAAGCAACACTGTCACTAACAAGAGATTCATTTCCAGCTAGCACATAACATTCTGAGAACCATATGTTTCTTAGAGCTTGGTGAGAGTGTGGTTGTACTGTGGTTATTTTGCATACAACCTTCCCACAAAGTACTGGGAAGGGTGCAGGATACCCAGCTAGCACATAACGTTCTGAGAACCATATGTTTCTTAGGTTGGAATTTCAGTACTTCAGCATAACGTTTCCTACAGGTTTCCTCATTCTATTTAAAGTAATGTTTTCAAATTGTTCAGAGAACTTTAAGAAACAACGTTGTTCTGTGGGAATTTCAGTACTTCAGCATAATATTTTCCACAGGTTTCCTCATGGTTCTATTTAAAGTCATGTTCTCAGAACATTCAGAGAACGTTAAGAAACAATGTTCTTCTGTGGGTATTTCAGTACTTCAGCATAACGTTTTCTACAGGTTTCCTCATGGTTCTATTTAAAGTCATGTTCTCAGAACATTAAGAAAACTTTCCATAAAAACCACAAGTTAACATTAGTCATGTTTAAAGAAAGTTCTACACATTCCATTCCATTCTCAGCATCAACAAAACTCTCTCTATCCTCTATCTTGTTAAGTGTGTTCAGGTGTGTTGGCCACGCCCACTAATTGGCCACACCTGATCTTAATGAGTGCTTGTTTCCTTTGAAATGGGTCTGTTTGAATAGACTAAAATTAACAGCTTTGTATAAGTAAAAAAAAACATGGCATGCTAGCTCCAGCCTGGTGATGCAGTGGACTAATTCCATGAATAGAGAGCAGAAGATCATAGGTTCAAATCTCATTGAGGCTGTGCTACAATAAAAAAAAATTATGTGTTTGCATGATTAATGCCTAAGCAAATTAATTTCCATGTGTCCTATCTGTGCTTGGAGTTCAAAACAGTTAACCCAAACTAAGCTAGCAGTGTTATTAAAAGTGTTACTGAAACATGTTCTCAGAACGTTATTTAATTACCTTCAAATAACCTATAATTTCTGTTCTCAGAGTGTTAACAAAAACCACAAAACTTTCAGGGAACCATAGTAAAACATTCTCAGAACCTCCCTGCAACCTAAAAATGTACATTCCCAGAACAGACAACATTTTCACTTCCGTTCTCAGAACGTTTAAAAAACGTTCTGTTTTACCAGTCAGGAAACTTATGGCTTTGTTCCCAGAACAAATGGGAAACCAAAAATGTACGTTCCCACAACTTCCAAGGAACCAAATGTGTCAGCTGGGTTAGAATCACTGGGCTTGAAGTCAGTTGAAAACCCATAACTCTGTAATAAATATCCCTATTTGAATAGCCATTAACACCTTTCCCGAGGTCAGTGTGTGTAGAAAGCATTGTTAATGAGCGCCAATGATAATGACGATGTCAATATTTCCAGATGTTTCCCGCTCATCCGGCTGAGTGGAGTGCGGGAAGGGAATTAGTGCAGAGTGTTATGGTGCTTGACACTAATGGAATGCTGAGCCAATTGTGAGGCTGACACATAATGTGGCCCTCGTCACTGGGGGTTGTCACACAGCATGAGAATGGGAGAGAGAGAGAGCAGTGCACAGATAGGATACACAATGCCTGTAATAATAACCACAATGAAAGAGAGAGAGAGAGTATATGTGTATGTGTTACCCCATACCCCAAATAGCAATTCCTCCGTACACCAAGTATAGGGTGCCTACTCCCTGTCAAGAAAACATGGGTAAAGTAAGAGATGAAAAAAAACACAGCCACTGGGTCATTTTCTGACCTGATGTAGACAAGATCGAGCCACTTCCTCCCAGGCAGGCAGTCTATTCCTCAGGGTGCTCCATCAGCACTGGAGGCCTTTCTGGGAGCAGGCCGTCCAAGAGCAATCTGACCTTCCAGAGATGGCAACTAGTTAGCTCCCACACAGGCCAGGACAGAGCTGAGGAGGAGTGTCTGGAGCGGTGGCAGCCCAGATGTCTGCTAGCAGCTAGTTCATGTAAAACCCTGCGACTCAGCAGAACATAACAAACCAAGCCTGTTGTTTTATTCATCACTGCAGCAAACTTGGTGGCCTGGAGGATGGAGCCAAGCGTTACTGTATGTAGGCCTATGAGTTTCAATAAAACACACTTTGCTTGCTTAGACAATACTATGTTTATGGTGTCTTTGCGGGTTAACTTAAGCAATTTTTGTAGGTAAGGCCTACTGTGCACTACAACTTAGGGAGGTTTTGTAGTAAGTGGACCTATTCTACAGATACAGACACAGAATCCACCCGTAACTTCAATCCAAATCATTCTCTGAAAAAATTTAACTACTACTAGACTATTATAACCCCCACTCACATTTCAAGTCAATTACAAAAAAAGACATATCCTATTCTAAATGCTAGCCACCACACAGAAGCCTCGCATTACCATTCCTAGCATAAGCCAGCCTTCAGAACATTTTCCAGAGACACTTAATATAGATTAATAAGTATTACACAAGGCCACGTTGGGGAGAATGGAATGTGTTCTCTTAAATTCCCCTTTAATAATTTATGGGATAATGATATGATGTGGATGAGCACACAAAAAATTACCAGATACAGTATTAATTTCCTCATTTCAGAGGATTTCAAGAGCAGTCGTCTACACATATGAGCTTGGCAATATGTTCAGCTCTCACACTTTCATTTCGATTAGCTCTTTTTTGGTTTGCTTTGATATTCCCCAACCAACATTTTTCAGTTAAATAAAAAAAAAAAAAGTTAAATGAGAAGAGTTTGATGTGGGGTGAAATCATTGTGATATGAATGGTCTGTACATTCAATTCTGTACTTTTATCAAACACACAAACCTACACCTGTTACAATAATCTTGAGGAGAAAACTGAAGTGAAGAGGATGCAGCCACTCTTGGAAGGACAATGGAACTTGGATTATAAAAATGCTTCTTTATCATTTTCCATTGTCCTCCGAGAGTATCTGAATATCCTCTTCACTTCAATGACAAATGACTCACAAATCCCCAAACACTCATTCCTCTTTCCATACTTGTACCTATTTGTTACCGAAAGAAAGATACACATATTTATATTCTCCAACATTTTCTCCAAATATCAGACAGTAGAAGTCATTTCACTAATTGTGCAGAAGCACATCATCCACATGGTCCCACTGGGTACTGTCCACTACTAATGCCTTTTCCTCAGGACTTGGTCCTGCTCTGCTCAATTGCAAAGGACCCAGAGCCTGCTGAACTTGGTGCCAAGTTCCTTAAACCCTATTCTCCAAGGCAAACAAATGGTTCCTTGTTCTGTCTTGTTGTTTTTGCTTACCTTTTGAGAAGGAGAACAAACATCACAACATCAATTAATTTTCGCTGTGCTCTCTTGGCTCCCTAAACAGAGTCACTCTAATTAGGTAATTAACGAGGATTAAGAAAACTGAACCGCTCGAATCCAACATTTAATTAGAAAACTAAACGGATACTCTAGTCTTTTGTCTGATGGAGTACCAAGGATGGCTGCCATGTCTCAAGGACAAACTGTTTCTGTCTCTCACCCAAGAGGAAGTGCCATACTGTACATCTTTAAAGAGTCCTTACTTAGTAATGCCAAAACTGATCCATCTTGTCTACCCAATGTAAGCCTTGTGGGTTGAACCTATTACCTTTCTATAGATTAAAGCATTGCTGAATACTTGCAACAGTTCACTAGAACAAATGCTAAAGGATAAAATGTTCAAGCTTCAGGCCTATCACAGCTATGAATGTGTTACATTATTCATTATTAAAGTTGTCTGAATGTCTTTTGAAGGACAGCAAAGTACATCTCATGACGACCAAGAATAGTGTTCCATGACTCTGGCTCATCCAGCTGGTTATGCAGCTTAATGCAGAGATGTGAGTAAACAAAAGATGCTGTGAAAATCTGTTGTGTATACATCTGACATTCGGAATAACTTTTGTGCAAATGTATACATGTTTTTCCTTTGAAGAGGGAAATGTAATCCTTGAATGATTAAAATCCTGTGGAGAGTATTCCATTTTTAAGACATTAATGGGGTGAAGCTTTTGTAAGAGCCTGGATAAGTACTCCACTCTCATCTCAAGCGGTGACATTTCAAGACAATGGATGCTACCACTGTACTGGTTCCTCAGCCGACACAGGCCCGCACCGGGCCTCACAAAAAGACTGCAGTTTGCTCAAACACAATTACACAGGAAAATCTGCATTGAGAATCCTCGAATGGACCATCTGCTTGTAGCGATTACCTTTCCTGGGGAAATCAACTTACATGAAGTGAAGTCAGTTTGTTTCCCAGCAGTGGGCATCTAACAAACAACAGCAGACTTTCCCAAATGAGATCAATCAAAACGATAAGAGTCCAAGCATATTAATAGTTCCACTGTTTGCACTGTAGATACCGTATTGATCACGCATTGACTTTGTCTAGCTTAGTCTAGCTTCACCAAAAGCAGCAAAGGAGGGCATGTGTGTATATTTGGCTCCAAAACTGTGATCAGACGGGCTATAATGAGCGTGTTGGGCTTAGCGATGCTTTCAAAGCCTTGTCATACCCATGCTCATCTGTACCCCTCTGGTGAACTGATGACACTGTGCTCTATTTGGACCATTACATCGGAGGGGGGATCTAAGAACACAACGTTATGATGTCTGGAGATACTACAGAGCTGCAAGTCGGATCATAGCGCGCTTTCATACGGGGCTAGTTCTGTCATGAAACACCCCTGCCGTGTGCCTGTTAAGACAGCACAGGCCCACATAGTTAACCTTTTCTTTGTCTCATCTACTTCCAAATGAGAGCACTGTGAACTGCTGTCACGACTTCGGCCGAGGCTGCCTCGACCTCCTTGTTTGGACAGGCTTCGGCGTTCGTCGTCAGCGGCTTACTAACCACTGCCGCCCCAATCGTCATCACAATTGTCTTGTCTTGTCAATCACACACACCTGGTTCCTATCCCCTAATTAGTCTGTGTATAAGTGTTCCCTCTGCCCCCTTGTCCTTGTGGGTGATTGTTATTTGAGAGAGTAGTGTAGCTCGGTGTAGCTCCTCGTAACATATTGTTGCCAGGGTAGATTTTCCCCTGTGCCTATGTATTATTGGATATCTGTTACAGTGTATTTGCCAGGGATGATAGTTTCCCCTGTGCCTGTTTCGTTTATCGCTATTTGAGCGCATTTGTGTGTCTACGAAGGAATAAACTCTGTATTCGGTGATTACCCTCCTGCACCTGACTCCTTTCCATCACACTCATCACAGAATCACCCACCCGCTATGGAGTCAGCGGGTGAAGAGCGCATGCCTGGAGTCGTGACACGGGTCCAAGAGCATTCCACGATGCTGGTGTTGTGGAAGACAATCACTATATTACAAATCAAAATACTTCCAGAGTTTTTGTAATATAGTGATTATTTTCCACAACACTGGCCAGCTTGGGGGAAGCGATGGATCGGGTTCTTCAGGTCGTCCAACGCCTGGAGAGGAGAGGACCCGATCTGTCGAGACCAGCTGGCCAACCGGATCCAGCCACCTACATCCCAGCACCCGGAGGGATCCAAATATCCCGACCACGGGTGTTTGATGGGACGGCAGCGCTGTGCCAGGGATTCCTCCTCCAAATGGAGCTGTACTTCTCCAGCATCAGGCCGGCGCCATCGGAGCGGGAGAAGGTGTCCGTCCTCGTTTCCTGCCTCTGTGGGAAAGCCCTGGAGTGGGCCAACGCGGTGTGGAACGAATGAGGAGCCGTGTTGGAGGACTACGGGGAGTTCGCTCGCCTCTTTCGGGCGGTCTTCGTTCACCCGCCCGAGGGTCGAGAGGCGGGCGTGCGGCTGGTCCACCTGAGGCAGGGGACGAGGACCGCGCAGGACTTCGCGTTGGAGTTTCGGACGCTGGCAGCGGGGTCCGGGTGGAACGAGCGAGGAGGACAGCGACAGTGCCACTGGGGACAGTACACCACATGGTGTAGTCAACGTTCTTTTGGGCCTGGTGGCGGCAGGCAGGGCACTCACGCATCACCCCAGGTATCGAACACCCACACTTGTTCAGAGCCCTCTGCTGCGCACTGTACCCTACCCATCCACTTTCCTGATCACATGGTAGTTCCCCAGTATAAGGCGCTAGTCAATTCAGGCGCAGCTGGGAACTTTATGGACAGGGCATTCGCACGCCGTCAAGGCATGTCATTGGTTCCCCTATCCATTCCACTCCCCATCAGAGCACCCGATAGTCGACCATTAGGGTCCGGGTTTGTTACGGAAGTCACTATACCAGTCACCATGATCACCCAGGAGACACATTATGAGCAGGTTATTTTTTCGATTATTGAGTCTCCTGCTTTCCCTGTGGTATTAGGTATCCCTTGGCTAGCACTCCACAACCCCACCTTCTCATGGCCGCAGAGGGCTCTCACAGGGTGGTTGCGAGAGTGTCAGGGTAGGTGCAACCACGGTGGAAAGTCCAGACGGTACCTCCACCGTGCGCATTCCCCCCCAAATACCTCGATTTGGCGCACACGTTTTCAAAGACGCGTGCGACTAAATTACCACCTCATTGGGCGGGGGATTGCGCGATAAACCTTCGGGTAGATGCTGTACCTCCCAAGAGTCATGTGTACCCCCTGTCGCGGCCTGAAACTGAGGCTATGGAAACATACGTCTCCGAGTCCCTGGGCCAGGGGTATATACAGTGGGGAGAACAAGTATTTGACACACTGCCGATTTTGCAGGTTTTCCTACTTACAAAGCATGTAGAGGTCTGTAATTTTTATCATAGGTACACTTCAACTGTGAGAGACGGAATCTAAAATCCAGAAAATCACATTGGATGATTTTTAAGTAATTAATTTGTATTTTATTGCATGACATAAGTATTTGATCACCTACCAACCAGTAAGAATTCCAGCTCTCACAGACCTGTTAGTTTTTCTTTAAGAAGCCCTCCTGTTCTCCACTCATTACCTGTATTAACTGCACCTGTTTGAACTCGTTACCTGTATTATAGACACCTGTCCACACACTCAATCAAACAGACTCCAACCTCTCCACAATAGCCAAGACCAGAGAGCTGTGTAAGGACATCAGGGATAAAATTGTAGACCTGCACAAGGCTGGGATGGGCTACAGGCCAATAGGCAAGCATCTTGGTGAGAAGGCAACAACTGTTGGCGCAATTTTTAGAAAATTGAAGGAGTTCAAGATGACGGTCATCACCCTCGGTCTGGGGCTCCATGCAAGATCTCACCTCGTGGGGCATCAATGATCATGAGGAAGGTGAGGGATCAGCCCAGAACTACACGGCAGGACCTGGTCAATGACCTGAAGAGAGCTGGGACCACAGTCTCAAAGAAAACCATTAGTAACACACTACGCCGTCATGGATTAAAATCCTGCAGCGCACGCAAGGTCCCCCTGCTCAAGCCAGCGCATGTCCAGGCCCGTCTGAAGTTTGCCAACGACCATCTGGATGATCCAGAGGAGGAATGGGAAGGTCATGTGGTCTGATGAGACAGAAATAGAGCTTTTTGGTCTAAACTCCACTCGCCGTGTTTGGAGGAAGAAGAAGGATGAGTACAACCCCAAGAACACCATCCCAACCGTGAAGCATGGAGGTGGAAACATCATTCTTTGGGGATGCTTTTCTGCAAAGGGGACAAGACGACTGCACCGTATTGAGGGGAGGATGGATGGGGCCATGTATCGCGAGATCTTGGCCAACAACCTCCTTCCCTCAGTAAGAGCATTGAAGATGGGTCGTGGCTGGGTCTTCCAGCATGACAACGACCCGAAACACACAGCCAGGGCAACTAAGGAGTGGCTCCGTAAGAAGCATCTCAATGTCCTGGAGTGGCCTAGCCAGTCTCCAGACCTGAACCCAATAGAAAATCTTTGGAGGGAGCTGAAAGTCCGTATTGCCCAGCGACAGCCCCGAAACCTGAAGGATCTGGAGAAGGTCTGTATGGAGGGGTGGGCCAAAATCCCTGCTGCAGTGTGTGCAAACCTGTTCAAGACCTACAGGAAACGTATGATCTCTGTAATTGCAAACAAAGGTTTCTGTACCAAATATTAAGTTCTGCTTTTCTGATGTATCAAATACTTATAACATGCAATAAAATGCAAATGAATTATTTAAAAATCATACAATGTGATTTTCTGGACTTTTGTTTTAGATTTCATCTCTCACAGTTGACATGTACCTATGATAAAAATGACAGACCTCTACATGCTTTGTAAGTAGGAAAACCTGCAAAATCGGCAGTGTATCAAATACTTGTTCTCCCCACTGTACGTCCCTCCACTTCACCCGCTTCCTCAAGTTTCTTCTTTGTGAAGAAGAAAGATGGCGGTCTGCGCCCAGGCATTGATTATCGATCATTGAACAAGGAAACGATTAGATTTAGTTATCCTCTCCCCCTCATTCCTTCAGTGATTGAGTCAATGCATGGGGCGCACTTCTTCACTAAGCTAGATCTCAGGAGTGCATACAACCTGGTGCATGTTCGGGAGGGGATGAGTGGAAGACAGCATTCAGCACAACCACGGTGAACGAGGTGTTTCGGGACATGCTTGGTCGCGGTGTGGTGGTCTACATCGATGACATCCTGGTGTATTCCGCTACTCGCGCCGAGCATGTGTCCCTGGTTCGCAAAGTGCTGGCCCGACTGTTGGAAAATGACCTTTATGCCAAGGCAGAGAAGTGTATGTTTTTCCAGCAGTCCGTCTCCTTCCTCGGATACCGCATTACCACCTCAGGTGTGGAGATGGAGGGAGATCGCATTTCAGCCGTGAGTAATTGGCCGACTCCAACCATGGTTAAGGAGGTGCAGCGCTTCCTTGGCTTTGCCAACTACTATCGGAGGTTTATCCGGGGCTTTGGCAAGGTTGCAGCTTCCATTACATCCCTGTTGAAGGGTGGGCCGTCCCGGCTGCGCTGGTCTGCTGAGGCTGACCTGGCCTTCAGCAGACTGCGGGGTCTGTTCACCTCTGCTCCAGTACTGGCCCACCCCGATCCATCACTACCGTTCGTAGTGGAGGTGGATGCGTCCAAGGTAGGCATAGGCGCTGTCCTGTCCCAATGCTCGGGCACGCCACCCAAGCTCCGCCCCTGTGCCTCCAGCGGAGCAGGACTACGACGTTGGTGATCGGGAGCTGTTGTCCGAGCTTTGACCGTGTGGAGGCATTGGCTCGAAGGGGCGAAACACCCTTTCCTCATCTGGACGGACCACCGTAACCAGGAGTACATCCGGGCAGCGAGGAGCCTGAATCCTCGCCAGTCAGGTGGGCCCTATTCTTCACCCGGTTCGATTTTTCACTGTCATACATTCCGGGTACGGAGAACATGAAGGCAGACGCACTGTCCCGGCTGTATGACACAGAGGAGAGGGTCAGAGACAACATCCCCATACTCCCGGCCTCCTGCATTGTGGCTCCAGTAGTATGGGCGATGGACGCGGATATAGAGCAGGCATTACGCACAGATCCATCTCCACCACAGTGTCCAGCTGGGCTGCGGTACGTGCCTGCTCTTATCCGTGATCGTCTGATCTTCTGGGCACACACGTCACCCTCCTCTGGTCACCCAGGTATCGGTCGTACAGTGCGCTGCTTGATCGGAAAGTACTGGTGGCCTACCTTGGCTAAGGACGTGAGGGTGTACGTCTCCTCCTGCTCGGTGTGCGCCCAGAGTATGGCACCTAGGCACCTCCCAGCGAATAAGCTACAACCTTTACCAGTTCCACAACGACCATGGTCTCACCTTAGTATTGATTTTTGACTGATCTTCCCCTCTCCCAAGTTAACACCACCATCCTGGTCATTGTGGGCCGCTTCTCCAAGTCCTGACGCCTCCTTCCTCTGCCCAGTCTCCCCACGGCCCTGCAGACTGCGGAGGCCCTGTTTACTCACGTCTTCCGGCACTACGGGTTGCCAGAGGATATAGTGTCCGACCGAGGTCCCCAGTTCACGTCCAAGGTTTGGAAGGCGTTCATGGAAATTCTGGGGGTCTCGGTCAGTCTGACCTCTGGGTTCCACCCTGAGTCAAATGGGCAGGTGGAACGGGTAAATCAGGATGTGGGTAGGTTCCTGCGGTCCTACTGCCAGGACCGGCCGGGGGAGTGGTCGATGTTCTTGCCATGGGCAGAATCTGCCCAGAACTCTCTCCGCCATTCCTCTACTAACCTAACACCATTCCAATGTGTTTTATGTTACCAAATGGTTCTGGCACCGTGGCACCAGAGCCAGACCAAGGCTCCTGCGGTGGATGACTGGTTTCGGTGCGCGGAGGAGACGTGGGACGCTGTCCACGTTCACCTCCAGCGCGCTGTGCATCGTCGGAAGGCCAACGCTGACCATCACCGCAGTGAGGCCCCGGTCTTCGTACCGGGGGATCGGGTCTGGCTCTCGACCCGGAATCTGCTCCTCTGCCTGCCCTGCCGGAAGCTGAGCCCGCGATTTGTAGGGCCATTCAAAGTCCTGAGGAGAATCAACGAGGTCACGTATAGGTTATTACTTCCCCCTGATTACCGTATTAACCTCTCGTTTAATGTGTCTCTCCTCAGGCCGGTGGTGGTTGGTCTGCTCCAGGAGTCTGAGGTGCGGGAGGTTCCTCCACCTCCTCTGGACATTGAGGGGGCCCCGGCATACTCTGTCCATTCCATCCTGGATTCGAGGCGTCGGGTGGGGGGCCTTCAGTACCTCGTGGAGTGGGAAGGGTACGGTCTGGAGGAACAGTGCTGGGTCCTGGTGAGGGATATCCTCGATCCCTCCCTGTTGCGGGATTTCCACCGTCGCCATCGGGCTCGCCCTGCTCCGCGTCCTCCTGGCCGTCCCCGAGGCCGGTGTCAGCACGCTGCTGGAGCTGCGCGTCAAGGGGGGGGGGTACTGTCACGACTTCGGCCGAGGCTGCCTCCCCTCCTTGTTCAGGCAGGCTTCGGCGTTCGTCGTCACCGGCTTACTAACCACTGCCGCCCAAATCATCATCACAATTGTCTTGTCTTGTCAATCACACACACCTGGTTCCTATCCCCTAATTAGTCTGTGTATAAGTGTTCCCTCTGCCCCCTTGTCCTTGTGGGTGATTGTTATTTGTGAGAGTAGTGGAGCGCATTTGTGTGTCTACGAAGGAATAAACTCTGTATTCGGTGATTACCCTCCTGCGCCTGACTCCTTTCCATCACACTCATCACAATTGCAGTATTTCTGAAATATCCTAATGAATGCAACTCTTCAAATGTTTCTCAAAGGATCACACTATTGAGAGGCACATTCGTGGAAAACATACTGTACAGAGCATGTATTCATGCCAGCTATGGTACCCTCCCATCAGAGCTAGACGTGCTCCTACATCTATACTGTATCTGAGATCTAAGCTCTTTGTAATGTGAGCGGAGTGTGCCACATTTCGTACGGAAGACAGGGGAGAGATAACAGCCCATTCAATCTGGCCCGCAGGAAGTTTCAGTAAATAAAAAAATAGATTATCATTGTGGGTTATTAATCATCTAAAAACTAGATAGAAAGTATATAGACATTATAATGGACAGATACGTTTTCAAATAACTGCCATTTTTCTGGCCCGCAAATTGCATTTGAGGAACAAATATTTCAGAAAATAAATTAAAATACTGATGTGGCCCTTGAGCCAAAATTATTGCCCAACCCTGTCCTAGACTCTCCAAAACTGAATACCTTGAAACATATTACCCCGAGTGTTTGAACTCCGTCTTTCTCAACCCATCTGACATTAGAACGTAGAGCAGTTTTCTCCCTCCCCTGTGGTAATCTCTCAGATGTGTTTTCACCAAAGGAACATACTGTATATTGGATTATTTTCAAAATATGATTAAAAAATAACTCAGCCACGGCAAGCTATTCAAACGATACGTAAGCCATATGACCTTCATAAACAAAGAAATCCCCAATGTGTTACTACTGCACTAAATTGCATTATCAATGACGTGAATATTCCAATGTTCTTTCCTTCTCGTAGCGTGTTTTACCTTGCAACCCCCAGGCCACAACACGATATACATATTCTGCCTCTACTTTAATCTGTCTGATTTCAATAGGATTTACACTCGACAGTTCTTAAAACACGCACAAACTCACACAGACACACACACAAAGACACACACACACACACAGACACACGCATACCCACACATCTGGTTTACACAAGTAGGATGCCAGAGAATGGAAAATGTATTATGTGTACATACATATTATGTGCTGGTTACAACAAATCAGTGTGCAGGTTCAAGGATGCGTACAGGAAATAAGAGCATTTGCTCTCAGGACGATAGAGAGGAAATAGACCAGAGGAGAGGATGCAGCATGATGGAAAACCAGGAAGAATAGAAAGAGAGAGAAGAGAGTGTGCACTATTTCACAAGTGTCCAATAATATCTGTCAGGTTTTTTTGCAGCACAAGCCTGGAAACACTATTTCATGGGCCATAGAGCTATTCTTGCCCATCAAATACCACACTGTTTTCCCCCTGCAGTTCAATCCCGAAGATGGGGAAATAAACTCAATCGAGTAGCCAGTAAAAGCCTGTTCCTCTGGCCTTTATGACTTTGTGGCTGTGGTAACTAGTGACGACCTAGAATTAGCTTGACCCGAGTTACTGCCCTGATGACACAAACGGCTTCAACAACAACGGTAATGTGTTTTATGTGAAAAGTTGTATTAAAAAATACCTGGTTAATTACCCAGCCAAGCAGATACAAGTAGTAGAGTCATTTTGGTTGTGAAGTGCATTATCAAAAAGCTTTGTCCTTTCCTTGTAACAAAATGCAATTTACCACAAGGCTGTCTATTGTATCACCCTGTCAGAGGCCCTCCCAGTCAACACCACCTCATAAGGAAGTACATTGTTTATGAGTATTGCCTGCTGCAGTTGTTCGAGAAATGTCCAGTTTGCAGCCGAACATGCAACATAGAGAAGACCAGCAAGGGGACCCTTAGCATCACGCAGACATGCCCTCATTGTTAGCGTTCCTATAAATGGATCAGGGAGGACACTTGAATCAGGTTGGTGACTTTTGACATGGTTAAAGGTAAAAAAAGTTTTGAGTTTTGCCCCAATTCACCTTCATAACCTAGCCTGGTGGAACCAGCCTAATCGCTGCGTTTCCCATTCTCTTTCATTTCACATATCATGATATCTGAAGTGAAATAGTATGAAAACATGTATGCACTCACTAACTGTCAGTCGCTCTGGATAAGAGCGTCTGCTAAATGACTAAAATGTAATGTAAATGTAAATAGAAAGGTGAATGCAGTGATCAGGTTGATTCCACCATGCTAATCATAACGACCATTGATAATGTAATCAGTGCTCTATGTGTGTGGTTGTGTGTGACCAACCAGTATCTTTGATGAGAGGCCAGGAGCTGATCTACGCTGCCATGCCCATCAATGGGTCGCTGGCAAAGACCTTACCTCCAGCCTCTTGCCTGCTCACCAATGGTCAATTGCAAATGATATATAGGTCTAAATACTATCACAGATGATATGATATATGACTTATAAAGTATGGTTACATTTTATTTGCTTTGTTAAACCTACCCTTTGGAATGATTTGGATAACAACAGTGAATATATTTAGTTATTAACATGTCATTACTGTTGCTATTTCACTTCGGCAGAGAAGTCATGGAGTTTGATCTGCGGCCATAACGCACATGCAACTGGTGCGGCAATTATTGCCGGCGCTTCAGCGTAAGAAATGACAACATAAAGGACATTTACGGCTCGCTGTCCGCCCCGCTGCAGAGAGTTAATAATCCACCAAGAGCAAGGGATCATGGTCATCAATTATGCAAAGCAGGGAGGGGGAGGGGGAAGGAAATGGACAGCGGGAGAGGGTGGAGGGTCAAGGTTTTGAGTGGGAGAAACATTAGATGATAGTAAGGTGATGGACAGAGAGAGCCAGAGGAGGGCCTAGATTTCGGCGACCTTGTGCTTTGGACTGCTTGGTGCTTCATGGACTGTGCAGAACTCTCTTGCCACATACACTACTTGGAGTGAGTGACTTTCATTTTAGCCAGGTTCTCTGTTTCAACCTGGAACATCAAATCTAATGGGAAACCAATATGAAATCATAAGGCACAGAATTCAATTTACTCATTACGGTGCTCCCTGATGGCAGATTTATGTCCCTGAAGCCAGGAGGCCATTTTCTATTGTTCCCCTTACATTCTTTTTTATTTATTTTTCTTTTTCTTTTTTTAGGGGGTAGATCAGCTTTAATATTGCAGATAGATTGTAACTTCCATCAATGTAATTGTCTGCATCACTTCCAATATGTTTTCCCCCCTCGTAAATATATATATATATATATATATACATACATACATATATATATATCCTTTAAAAAATATATATTTACCTTTATTAATTTCCAACCCCACCACCCCTTCCCTAATTGGAGTAAACTAGTGAACAACAATGCTTAGGCCTCTACTTCCAGCTTATACATACTATATAAATTTTATGGACACAGTCAATTTTACAATAATTCTATTTTGTTTGTTTTTACTCCTGAACTTCCTCTAGCCTCAACCTCTCTCCCCTTACATTCTTGCATCAAAATGTCTCAAACATGATATCTTTATAAAAAGTCCCCAACTACTGTATCAGTTTAAAAAATATATTTCAAATAGACAATTGAGATAACGATAAAGTACATACTATTGGTTACAGGAATATTAAAATAAAATAAAAACCTTTGAAAATATGATGTAACAAATACGGAGGAGCAGGAAGACCGAGAACAAAGCATTTGATAAAAAATAACACTCCCACTCGGGTCTAGTAAATTGGATGGTGTGTATTTTACAGGCTTTTTTCCTTCGCATGGAGGATTGAAGATGCTGTAAAGTAACAAAGCTGTGGTAGCAAGACGAGGGAGGTCAGATAAGCATAAAACTGCAAAGTATCTTGAATTAAGACTGATCTGGTTGTGGATCTATAGACTGTAAATACCAGCGCTGGTCCCTGATGGCAGCTTGTGGCTTATGTTGTGAATATATTTCCTGAACAAACTGATATGCTTGCAGCTCTCTGATTTGAAGTAATTGCCCTTAAAAAAATCCAGGTAGGCTAAAAGTTGCTCATAATGAACGTTGCAGACTGAATTGGTTTTCAATTACCATCACATTACAGACACTTGGACCTGCTTGTACAAGTCACCTTTCATTCATTAGTATGAAAGGGGGAATCTGCATAGTGGAATAATATTTTATCCCTGGAAGAAAATGTGCACTCTCCTCTAATTAATCAGTAAAATATTGGAATAATGACCATAAAAGCTTGTCTCTCAACCCCTACTTTGAAGGCTTTGGCGTGTTCTATAAAAAAAATAGAAAAAACCTTGTCATGGTGCAATTTTATGAACTTATCTTGATATATGATTGATGTGCTTGTCACGCCGGTCTGCACAATTCACAAGCAAATGACCCAGAGAGTATGTAATGAATAGAAATGAAAGAAAGACAAATTATGGGATGTCATCTAAAAGCATGATCATGTTCTGTCCTACATTATCATATCTTTCACATCATGTTCTGCACTAGTATATCACATATTTTTTTCTGTGATGCAAAAATACTTTGTCAAGGCGTCACGGAATCAGCCGAGGCTGCTCCTCCTCCCTGCTCGGGCAGGCTTCGGCGTTCGTCGTCCCCGGAGTACTAGCTGCCACCGATCTATGTTTCGGTGTTTGACTTGTTGTGTCCTGATTGTGTACACCTGTTCCCCATTATGTTGTATTGTATTCCCTATTTAACCCTCTGTCGTGCATTGTGTGTTGTGTGTTATTGTTTGCGTCATCGGCAGTGTGCGGGTTGTTTGTTTTCTCCGTTGTTTGGAGACAGTTTATTTTCACTGGCGACTTTCATTAAAGTACGGTTTCCAGTAGCTCTGTGTCCTGCGTGTGACTTCGCCTACCGCATTTCACTGTCGCCGTTCTGACAGAATAACACACCACCATGGAGTCAGCAGGATCGGTTGTGCCTAGGGGATCACTGGAGGAGCCCGTAATCCTCCAAGAGGCCAGGATCCAGCACCTGGGTACCACCATGCAAGAAGTGATGGACACTTTGAGGCGATGGGAGAGGGGAGGTTTGCCCACACCTCCTCCTACGATGCCACCACCATCAGCCATACCCATCGGTCCATCTCCGGAGTCCAGTGGGATTCGGCTCTCGCTCCCGAGGGCTTATGATGGCACCGCGGCCGGGTGTCAGGGTTTCCTACTCCAGGTTAAACTCTACCTAGCAACCATTCACCCGGCGCCCTCGGGATACGAGAGCGTGTCCGCCCTCATCTCCTGTCTGTCCGGCAAGGCGCTGGAGTGGGCCAACGCCGAATGGGGTGCTAGGGAGACCAGAAGGGAGACCAGGAGGGAGGCCGTCCCCTGCACCAACTGTGGCCGCAGAGGACACACTGCTGGTCGGTGCTGGGGAGGGTCTCCTAGGAATCGAGGCAGTGGGCGACGCACTGATGAGTCTTTCCCGGTGAGTAGGCACCCAACTCACCCAGAGCTCTCTGCTGATCATATGTAATAATAATAATATGCCATTTAGCAGACGCTTTTATCCAAAGCGACCTACAGTCATTCGTGCATAAATTTTTGTGTATGGGTGGTCCGGGGGATCGAACCCACTACCCAGGCGTTACAAGCGCCGTGCTCTACCAGCTGAGCTACAGGGGACCACATATGTGTATTAAAGTGGTGTTTCCCGAGGTTTCTCCTCACTCCCAGCATAAGGCGCTAGTAGATTCAGGCGCAGCTGGGAATTTCATTGATCGCCAGTTCACCTATAAGTTAGGGATTCCTATCGTGCCTGTTGATGTGCCCTTCCCCATTCATGCCCTAGATAGCCGGCCGTTGGGGTCTGGGTTGATTAGGGAGGCCACGGCGCCTCTCCGGATGAAAACGCAGGAGGGTCATGAGGAGATAGTACGGTTGTATTTGATTGATTCTCCTGCGTTTCCCGTGGTGTTGGGGCTTCCCTGGTTAACAGCTCATGACCCCAACATTTCATGGCAGCAGAGAGCTCTCCAGGGATGGTCTAATCAGTGTACTGGGCGGTGTTTAGGCGTTTCCGTAGGGGCAACGACGGTGGAAAGCCCGAACCAAGTTCCCGCCTTGCATATTCCACCTGAGTACGCCGATTTGGCTCTCGCCTTCAGTAAGAGGAAGGCGACTCAATTACCACCTCATCGACAGGGGGATTGTGCAATAGACCTCCAGGTAGGCGCTGCGCTTCCACGTAGTCACGTGTATCCTCTATCTCAGGAGGAGACGGCCGCTATGGAAACCTACGTCACCGAATCTTTGAGACAGGGTTACATATGGCCGTCTACTTCCCCTGCTTCCTCGAGTTCCTTTTTTGTGAAGAAGAAGGATGGGGGTTTACGCCCGTGTATTGATTACCGTGGTCTAAATCAGATCACCATCAAATACAGCTATCCTTTTCCTCTGATTGCTAGTATGACGGAGTCATTACACGGGGCGCGATTCTTCACAAAATTAGATCTCAGGAGCGCGTACAACCTGGTGCGCATTAGGGAGGGAGATGAGTGGAAGACAGCATTCAGTACCACCTCGGGTCACTATGAGTACCTCGTCATGCCATACGGGTTAATGAATGCTCCTTCAGTCTTCCAATCATTTGTGGACGAGATTTTTCGGGACTTGCATGGACAGGGTGTTGTGGTATATATTGATGACATCCTAATATATTCCGCTACATGAGCCGAGCATGTGTCCCTGTTGCGTCGAGTGCTTGGTAGACTGTTGGAGCATGACCTGTATGCGAAGGCGGAGAAATGTCTGTTCTTCCAGGAGTCCATCTCCTTCCTGGGACATCGGTTGCCCGCGTCAGGGGTAGAGATGGAGATTGACCGCGTTTCTGCCATGTGTAATTGGCAGACTCCGACCACGGTAAAGGAGGTGCAGCGCTTCTTGGGTTTTGCCAATTACTACCGGAGGTTTATCCGGGGCTTTGGACAGGTAGCAGCTCCCATTACCTCTCTGCTAAATCGGTGCGCCTGCAGTGGTCAGCTGAGGCTGACATGGCGTTTAAACGCTTGAAGGACCTGTTTACCTCGGCTCCGGTGCTGGCGCATCCGGATCCCTCTTTGGCATTCCAGGTGGAGGTGGACGCTTCCGAGGCTGGGATCGGTGCTGTGCTGTCTCAGCGCTCGGGTACGCCACCTAAACTCCGCCCCTGTGCTTTCTATTCTAAGAAGCTCAGTCCGGCGGAGCGCAATTATGACGTGGGGGATAGGGAGCTGCTGGCTGTGGTTCAAGCCCTGAAGGTGTGGAGACATTGGCTTGAGGGGGCTAAACACCCTTTTCTCATTCTGACTGACCATCGTAACCTGGAGTACATCCGGGCAGCGAGGAGGTTGAATCCTCGCCAGGCAAGGTGGTCAATGTTTCTTTCCCGCTTTGTATTTAAGCTCACATATATACCAGGGTCCCAGAACGCTAAGGCAGACACCCTGTCCCGACTATATGACACAGAGGAGAGGTCCATTGAGCCCACTCCCATACTCCCGGAGTCTTGTTTAGTGGCACCGGTGGTGTGGGAGGTGGATGCGGAAATCGAGCGGGCGTTACGTTCCGACCCTACTCCTCCACAGTGTCCAGAGGGTCGGAGGTACGTGCCGCTCGAGGTTCGCGACCGGTTGATATACTGGGCTCACACGTCACCCTCCTCTGGTCATCCGGGTATTGGTCGGACAGTGCACTGCCTTAGTGAGAAGTACTGGTGGCCAACCTTAGCCAAGGACGTGAGGGTTTATGTTTCCTCCTGCTCGGTGTGCGCCCAGTGTAAGCCACCTCGACACCTGCCCAGGGGGGAGTTACAACCCCTACCCGTTCCACAACGGCCGTGGTCTCACCTATCGGTGGATTTTGTTACGGACGGGATATATGTTACGGTCGGGATATATTCCCTGGGCAGAGATAGCCCAAAACTCCCTCCGTCATTCGTCTACTAACCTGACGCCTTTTCCAGTGTGTGTTAGGTTACCAGCCGGTTCTGGCACCTTGGCATCAGAGCCAGATCGAAGCCCCTGCGGTGGACGAGTGGTTTCGGCGCTCGGAGGAAACTTGGAATGTTGCGCTTGTCCATTTGCAGCGTGCCATCAGGCGGCAAAAGGCGAGCGCCGATCGCCACCACAGTGAGGCTCCGGTGTATGCACCAGGAGACCGGGTCTGGCTCTCGACCCGAAACCTGCCCCTTCGCCTGCCCTGCCGGAAGCTTGGTCGGCGGTTTGTGGGGCCCTTTAAAGTCCTGAGGAGATTGAACGAGGTATGTTATAGGTTACAACTGCCCAGGTATTATCGCATTAACCCCTCGTTCCATGTGTCCCTCCTCAGGCCGGTGGTGGCTGGTCCACTCCAGGAGAATGAGGTACGAGAGGCTCCTCCGCCCCCGCTGGACATCGAGGGGGCTCCGGCGTACTCAGTCCGGTCCATCTTGGATTCGAGGCGTCGGACAGGGGGCCTGCAGTATCTCGTGGAGTGGGAGGGGTACGGTCCGGAGGAACGGTGCTGGGTCCCCAGGAGGGACATTCTAGATCCCTCCTTGTTGAGGGACTTCCACCGGAGTCATCCGACTCGCCCTGCTCCGCGTCCTCCTGGCCGTCCCCGAGGCCGGGGTCGGCGCACGGCTGGAGCCGCGCGTCAAGGGGGGGGTACTGTCACGGAATCAGCCGAGGCTGCTCCTCCTCCCTGCTCGGGCAGGCTTCGGCGTTCGTCGTCCCCGGAGTACTAGCTGCCACCGATCTATGTTTTGGTGTTTGACTTGTTGTGTCCTGATTGTGTACACCTGTTCCCCATTATGTTGTATTGTATTCCCTATTTAACCCTCTGTCGTGCATTGTGTGTTGTGTGTTATTGTTTGCGTCATCGGCAGTGTGCGGGTTGTTTGTTTTCTCCGTTGTTTGGAGACAGTTTATTTTCACTGGCGACTTTCATTAAAGTACGGTTTCCAGTAGCTCTGTGTCCTGCGTGTGACTTCGCCTACCGCATTTCACTGTCGCCGTTCTGACACAAGGCTATGTCTCTTAAACAGGCTGTCACTTGGGTCAGCATGACTTGTCTGTAGCCTCCTGGGTAATCGTGTCAGAGCGTCTGTTCATTAGACCAGGAAGTGGAGACTGGTGGCTGATTTCATAGGG